GGGTTTAGGGGTTTAGGGCCTAAGGGTTTAGGCAAGTTCAGGCCTCTACATTTTAGGGTTTAGGGTGGCGTATTCTCATATAGATGGTGCACAAGCTCGGGACTGGTGCCTGGCCTCTCCTTGCATCCGCTGCCTTGTCTAGCACTTCCTGGGGACAGTTGCTGCCTTGGATTCATCCAGCTGATCATTTCTTGAGCCCGAATATTTATTTAGGGGTTGATATAGGTTTTGAGGGTAGGGTTGTTTAAGGCTGTAGGGTTCCCGGTTTGTGATGAATTGTTTGATGACGGTTGAAGTTTGTCGGGTCTGGTACGGGTGCTGTACTGGGCTCAGGGCTTAAGCTTAGGCGGATAGTAGAGTTGTAGGGTTCAAGGCAACCAAGTTTAGGAGTTTTGGGGTTTGAGTGAAGATTCCAGGGATCATTGTACGTACATAATTGGATGCACTTCGGATCAAGGAGCTAGTTCAGGTCTTGAGGGATTAAGGAGTTCAGGGATTTGAGGCCTCGAGACTTATTACGTAAATCAATGCCAGGCACTCCTGGATGGACCTGTGAAACTTCATGAAGACATTGTGGGCCACCCTCGCCATCCAATCCTCTTGAGATTCGCCTTCCTTCCTGGTCAGCGTAGCTTCCTGCCAAGAGTCAGGCATTTATTATTAGTATGGGATATAAATAACATCGGGTTTGGAGTTTAGGGACCGCGTGAACCCCTAATTGTCCGAAACCCGCGATAATTCTACACTTACTCAAGCACCCCTAAAACCTAGCACCCTTTCCAACGAAACTTGGGGTCCTTCAAGTCGAACTTGTTGGGTTGCTCCAATGCCTTGAACACGGCATCCGTCCTCTGCTGTGTCTTCGTGCCCTCCTTGCCAGCCTGAACGATGGCCAACTGGGCTCCTTGCTGCTGGGCTTCCTGGTCGCCTGTTCCCTCCATGGCTTCTGCTTGTTCTGGGACCCCTGGCTTCAAATCCACTTTGGGCTGCATGGCTTCCTGGTCGCCTGTTCCCTCCATGGCTTCTGCTTGTTCTCGGACCCCTGGCTTCGAATCCACTTTGGGCTGCATGGCTTTCTGGTCGCCTGTTCCCTCCATGGCTTCTGCTTGTTCTAGGACCCCTGGCTTCGAATCCACTTCAGGCTGCAGGTCGCCTGTTCCCTCCATGGCTTCTGCTTGGCTCGGGACCCCTGGCTCCGAATCCACTCCTTGCTGCTGCATGGCTTCCTGGTCGCGTGTTCCCTCAAGGGACCCCTGGTTTCGAATCCACTCCAAGCTGCTGCGTGGCTTCCTGGTCGCTTGTTCCCTCCCTGGCTTCTGGTCGGAAAGGGACCCCTGGCCTCGAATCCAATCCTTGCTGGCAATCCTGGAATTGCGAGTCCACCAAGGTCTCCGGCAGCGGGAGCGTGGACGGCACCTGGACAGAAAGATAGTAGTAGCTGTAGTAGTAGTAGTCGTCGTCGTCGTCGTAGTCGTAGTAGTAGTAGTAGTAGCAGTAGCAGTAGCATGCAGTAGCAGTA